TAAACCGAGACCAATACGAGTAGAGTAAAAATTGTATAGGTAGTAGGCTAAACACACACACACTTTTTAAATATCGTACAAAAAGTTTTTATTCTTAAACACATTTTTTTTTAAATATCGTACAAAAAGTTTTTATTCTTAATCACATGATTTTTACAACCAGAGGAATATTTGAAAATAGTACACTTGTCATTTAGCCACCCGCACAAACGAACACGTGTTGATCCACGAGGCTAGCCGCTAGACAAAGCGGAAGATATTCAAAAGAATTTCTTTATTTATAGTATGTTAAAATACTAATGACATAAGTAAAACCAGTCTATCGTCATAAAGGTTTCCTAAATATAATGCTATGTCTATTCGTAAATACGTAAATGCAGAATAGCACTCTCAGATTTTTTCCGACACCACATAATGAAAAGAGGATTCTCTTTATAGCTACGATTAAAAAAAAACTTTTTTGTCTCTTCACTACTGACAGCGGTAATAGGTATTTCAACATTTTTAGTCTCATCACATTCAATGAGCGAATAGTGAAGCCGCGAAGAAAATTAAATTAAAATATATACGTATGTAATAGCATAAGTTAACATATTATTTAAATAAACAAATAATTATTTAACATATATTTTAATGAGTCTATTTACAGTTAACCAAAAATATACCTACATACATATTTATATTACACATTGTTTCGTTAATCCCATGTTATGCTGTATGTGCCTGGATTTTAATCCCCGTTTTGGAAACTTCTTATTTAGGTTATGATCAGCAATTCTCATTAATACCGGCGCGGTCTAATAATATGCCTGCACCCGCCTCGTAGACGGCAACAGGTTGGCCAACCTGTTGCCGTCTACGAGGCGGGTGCGTCTCACGTGTCACCAACAATATACTGAAATCATCGACAAAAAAATAATCTTTGTCTACCCTCTTTTTACTAAGTCAGTGGGCAAACGAGGTGGCGGTTTACCTAATGGTAAGTGACTATCGCCGCTCATGAACACCTGCAACTCAAGAGTAACGGCTCATGGACACCCGTAACTGCACGGATGGCGTAGTGGTATAAGCGGTCGCCACGCCGCCGCAATTATTGTAAATATATAATCTGAATCTCGGAAACGGCTCCAAAGTTTTCATGAAATTCAGTATGCAGGGGGTTTCGGGGGCGATTAATCGATCTACCAAGCTTTAGAAGAAAGAAAATTTAGCAAAAATAATAAAACGCAAAACTCGGTCATCCAGGTAGTAAATATGTAAAACAAATGTAAAGTCGGCATTCAAAGAAACTAAGTCAAGGTCACGGTGTGTTGATAGAAATTGTTGATTGTTACATTTTTTCAGAGAAACATCGGTGAGTAAAGAGACTTTTTGTGTCAGCAGTATACAAACACCTATCGAGTACTTCCTGACACCGAGCGTAAAGTTTTTCTTCGATAATCACGTTTCGATTAGACGATAGTAATGTGCATGCAATTATCTACTTTTGTAAACATATGCTACGTTATTAGGTAACTGTGAAAATGATTTTTATTCCTCGGGACCTTTTTTCCTAAGTGATATGTACCCTATTACCTTTGCTAAGTTTATGGCAACTTGAAAAAATTGGCAAAATTCTGCATAATATTATGAACAAATCCTTGTTGAAGATTTGTTTTTTTTATGTGCGGATGTGCTTTGGTAGAGTAGTTGTATAAAGTCAGACTACACAGAAAAATATTAGAATCTATCATTTTTTTCATAGTAAGTAATTAAGTATCACTTTTTTACCCTATTATCCGCACCAATTCATTGTGGTTAAACCCACTTACTTTTATCTTTTTAATTTATTATAAAAGAATTAAAATATCATAAAAAAAAACTTTAAGATACCTATCGACTTCAAAGACTAAGGAAAATAAAGGTATTTCGTTTTTTTTAAATAATAATTATTAAATTTCTTACAATGCGGTCAAACGCAACTTAAGCAATTATCTTTTACTTAATTAATTATATAAAAATATAAGTTACCTAACGTTTACATTAACCAAGGAAAATGGCTTTAGGGAAACGTGACAACTTGCAGTGGCTTCACATGAACTATAGCCGGGATAAACCCAAGTTATTGAATTAACTTATTGCTTTGTAAAACGGATTAATCAGCAACAATTCATCTGTTTTACTGTGTACATGAATTGACTGCTAGTATGACGACAATAATTATTTACATTATTTAGGTAGGCTAGGGTACTAATACCGACCAAGCGATTAAAGCATTGCAAATTAAAAAAAAAAAAAAGTTTTTTTTTAAATATGGATGACTATTTTCCCGCCAAAAGGTAACAAAACACATACTGGACATCAAATAAGCTTTTAGAAGTAATGTTGCCTTAAAACAATACGCTTCATGTTAGCAATGATCATTTAATTGTAAAAACGAGTTTGTCATGTTTACGGAATTTCATTTCATTTATTTCATAAAAATGTTCTAGAATACCTATCGACTATTTGACTAGACATTAAATAAGTATTTTGATTAATATTTAAGAAGAAATGGACTTATTGATAAAAGTAGGTCACATAGAAATATAAAGACGTCTGCCTTTGCATTCAGGCGCATAGGGTGAACACAGCAGTTAGTTATTCATTAAAGTAAAAGAGACAGGTAATTAAATAGAAGCATCATCATCAATATGAAATCGGATACTTTTATTGTGTTACCTTTAAAATTTGAGGGTTGAGGGCTCTTGTTGCGTCTAATATAGTATTGCGTCGTATATTGCGTCTAATCTAATAGTAGGCCAAAACCTCCTTCCTAAGGAGAGGCCCATGTCCAGCAGTGGACTAGTAAAGGCTGTTGATGATGATGATGAGTAAAACACTAGGATAAGCAGTTCTGCAGAGATGTATGGCTGATATTGTAGTATCCTATCGCTTGACTTTAAAACATACGAGAGATATTCAGTAAAATTTACAATAACTTCGTAGCTAACACAGTCCGATTTAAATTTAAAAATTGAGTTCTAAAAAGTTTAACACTCTTTCGAATACACTGACGCTAGTCACTTTATGTGGTTTGAAGTGAGGCTGATTTAAATAGGTATGTTAAAATCGAATAGAGCCCGGTGTCTGCATAATAGGGTAGATTCCTAGGTTTAAAATAAATTATTTACCCTCCATCATTAAATGTAACATCTCAAAGTAGAGGCTGAATTGTCCTCAATTGTCAATTTAATCTTTTTATTGATTTGATATCTTGAAATCAACGTTAAATATAAAGGTTTTGGCAATAACTAGGTATGACGTCACGAATTAGTATCTCATACAAAAATGTACCGCGTCTAGCGTTTTGACGTTTAAAAAAAGACACTGATTTGACTTGACAGTCATCTACCCTATTAGGGCTCTGGTAACTCACTTCCGCAGATACAATGCAGTTTTTAAAGCTTTGAGGTGAAGAAAACCTGAAATTTTCACACATACTGAAACGCTTCGCTTAAAATTAGAGAAGAGAGAAATTCTTGCAACCGGTTGTCGTGAAACCCATCCAACTTTCTTGCAATTTTTGAATGTTTTCATTGAAAAGGTCATTTAAAATCTCCTTAAAAATAAATAAGAGGTTGCAACCAGTTACGATGATATCTATTAGGCTTTCTTAGTAGGTGGTTGCAAGCAATTAAATCCAAGACGAACTATTGTAGTTTTCTTAACTTATTCTGCAAGTTTAGGTCGAGTTATTTTTAATGTTATAGGTAAAATCTAATCAAACTAAATTGAACTTTACTGTGCAGCTTTGAAAGTCATTAATTATTTATATGTCATCACGAAATGACCGCTTTGTACATATGTAAGAAAGTATGTACCATATTATTTACTACCGTTTCATCCGCGTTTATGATGACATCTTCGTCTCTAGGGTTCATTAGCTTAAAAGTCTTCTTAATAAAAAATATTATTCTGTGAAATCTAAATAGACAATGTACTCGTATTGTTAATTATGGTAGTTCCAGAGAAAAGCGCGCAAATAAAGCGGTTTTAAAATTTATTACTGTTTTGTTTCTTCACGTATCTATAGATTATGAGATGGACATTATCATTCACCAATATATCTTTAGGTATATATGAATGTATAATGTAACGATAGCTATCTATATTCCCTTCAATATACCGAAAATCTTAGCTTATCTTTAGCAAACCTTAACAGATTTAAGTGGATTAATAAATGTCAAACATCGATCAAATTGTAACGGGAATGTTTAGAAAGATATTAAAAAGACTTTAATGTAGGTTTCTGTAAAGTTTGATGTGCTGTAAGCTAATTGCTAAAAAAGAAAGGTGGAAAAAATACAACCAATTATCTGAAGCGTGTCGTTTAAACATAACTGTAAGGTAACGTTCAAATGAAGTTTCAAATGTAAAAACTAACCATACTTAGTTATAACAACTAAAAATCGAGCTTAAGGAGCAGACTAAACTAAACGGTGAAACATATATTTTATGTGAGTTGAGGTGTCCATAGGTGACCCGTCTGCTCGTTTGCCCCCTTATACCATAAAAAAAATATTGTAAAGAGTTAATTAAGTTCATCATAATAAAAAAATCTAATATTTTAAAATGAGAATAAAGAAAAACCAATTTAATCGCAAAAGTCCTAAAGTGAAAGCTACGTTGAAATATTCCGTTAGATAGATCATATACATAGATATATTATTAGATAGATAAATAAAAGTCAAGCTAATTTATCAAATATCAAATATATAAAAAGATTTACACGTTTGAAAACAAAGCGAAACGACAGATGATTCCGATTACGTTCGCAGAAAACTGAAAATGACGACAGGTGTTTCGCGGAAACCGAACACACGTTCTTTACCACTTGAGAACATATTGTTATCATACTAAAACCGTATCCCGCGATAACAATCACACCCACCCTAGCAGATGTCCATGTCTGTGACGTCATCGTCAGAAAACATCAGGACGCTGTTGATGTAATAAATAAACAGCCGCCGGCTACTCACCGGTGTAACTCCTAGGGTGCTGATCTTCCAAACCAGGCTGCTCCCAAACCAGAACGTGCGCGCCACGAGTACGAGAAACCATTTTAACGAATTAGAAAAAAAAGAGACCGGAAGAAAACTAAATTATTTAAGAAAAAAGAATTAAATCTAAAAAAGTCCGCCTAAATATCACCTACGTAACGTTGGTGAGCGAGCCGACGTTAAGTGGTGTGTGGTAAGGGAGAGACATAGCGAGGGTTGTAAGTGGTAATTGATGGTATACTAAGGCTCTGCTGAAGCCGATTGGTGACCGACTGGCGGTTCTATTCGGACGCGTCGCGCCGGTAAATATAGTAGAGGTAAGCGGGGACGGGCAGTGCGGTGCGACGGCGACGCAGGGAGAAGGGGCGGGGCACGCGGCGCACGCGCTCCGAGCATGCGATGACGTGAGCTGGCTTAACTTTTTTACTGAACGACTGAATTCTGAAACCAATCTGCAATTGAGAATGATATGCTGAGACGTGGATGCGAAATAACTTGGAAGAATTCTGCCAACATCATTTTTTTTGTATCGCAATAAATAAACCTATGTGTTAAAAGCCAAATGCTTAAACGGTTACATTTTTATTTGACTTACCTAGTCAATTCACGGACCAAATAATGATCAACTATATAATAAATTAATTGTCTAAACTGATATTTGAAAATTTAAAAAAAAAATGAACGTGTAAGGCGACTAACGCCTTTTTCATGTGACTTCATGATGTTCGAAATAAAGGTAAATCTCGACATCTATTTTAAACAATATCTTAAATCTAAATTGTTTTATATTCAGTTTCCAGCCGACAGTCTAACTAGTGGCCGAATGTGATATTACTTAGTAATATATATATATATATATATATATATATATATAAACTTACTACGAACAAACTTGACCATAGACTCGATGTGGTATATATAAATATTCATTAATCAATTAAACTAAAATAGAATAAACACAATTCATCGTAGGACGTATACGAAACTAATTGGAAACGATTTATTTTTCTTAATTCCTTTCCTTGCTGGAGCGATTCTAAATTTGAATGCGTTAAACGAGACGCTTATCACATGTAAATTTAGAATGTGGGTCACTGCCTTGATACTAGATTTGTCAGAATGTACAGTTACCTTTTTAATTTCTAATTCGCAATCAGAAATTAAAAATCCGTCAAGTTCGAGTGTTTCCGTTTCGTGTTGTTGAAAGTTCAAGTAAAGAATAGAAAGACAAAATTGTGAAATAAGTGCAGAGTAAATAGACAAGCCAGTCTCCCATTTCGTATTGTAAATTAGATTTTTTTTTAAATAGTGGTATACCTAACTAGCTTTTGCCAGGGGCTTCGCCCGCGTAAATTTCGGTGATCACGGTAAAAAGTAGCATCTTTCCTCAAGAAACAAAATATCTTCATACCAAATTTCACCTAAATCAGTTTAGCCATTCTTGATTCCTCATACAAACGTCAACCCCCCTTTTCGCCCCCCTTAAGTATGATTTCTAGGATAAAAACTAGCCTATGTCCTTTTCCGGGACTCGGACTATCTTTATACCAAATTTCATCTAAATCGGGTCACTGGTTCAAGCGTAATAATTTGAAAAATATGAAAAGTAAATAAATGGTAAAACCAAATCAACTCAATGACGTGTTATAATATATGGTATTATAGTTTAATATATTATTAAGTCTTATATACCTACCTACCATACTTTTGTAATTGCATTGTATACCATACTTTTGTAATTAATTGCTTTTTTGGGATTTCCAATTTTCATTTTAAACCTTTTATTTTTCACAAAGATCTTATTTGTATAACTTAAAATTAAAAACAAGATGACGTTAATCGTAAAAAAAGCCATTCACAAATGATAGAGTTTTTTCTTATTTAGACTAAAATTCATTAGTGGAACGTTTTCAAGTTATAAAAAACATAAAGCGTGCCTCGTTTATTCGTCTATATGTATGTATATTAATAAAAATCTAACAAAGTTGGCGTTAACAAACTCTATTTACACTCACGGAGGTCGTGAAACGTAGCACAGTATGACTCACCAGGAAAACCTTTAGTTGGTTGGTGAGCGCGTAAGCCCGCGCTTTTCTACGTCAAACTAATTTCAATATGGCGGTGACGCATTATGCGTTTACTTTATTTACATTTTAATATGGTGTCTTTTGATGACGACAATGCGTAAAACTTGTTATACGAGTAGATGGCGAATTTGTTTATCTATTACCCGCCTGAGGAAAAGATAAAATTGTGATCATAAATGAGTTGATTAAAATCCTACAGCTTTCTCGCAGTTTCTTTTTAGTACCTACCTAATTTAGTTTGATACATTAATTTTAAAATTTGAAAAATTCTGCAATATTCGACAAAAAATACTTTGTTAAATGCCGAGAAACATCTTACCCTTAACTGAGTTACAATTAGCAGTTGGGGATATTTCATTCGATGAATAAAACACACAGCAATGTTTGTAAGCTTTGAGGGGGCCTGTTAAAATTAAGTCCCAATTAACCCCAAAACATAAATCAAAAAGCCCCATTTAGCAAAATGGTAAAATACGGCAGCCTGTAAGACTTAGACAACAGCAAATAGAATCACTAAAATGCAGATGAAACACACTATTTCGCAGTGCTTTTCATTTTTTACATATCTTCCTTGATGTAGTGTACCAAGCGAAAGTTATAAAACCACTAAATACACTAAAATTTTAGGCTTTTTTAAATGACGCACTGCTAAACGTTTACGGCCAATTATCGCCAAAATTCCAGTTCGACATTGACATTATATAGTATATATAGTATATAGTCGTTGTATCGTCAGGTGGCAAAATATATTTTCTACTATTCCTAGATAAAAAAATACACATGACGAAATCTTTTATTTTGCAAATTCCAAATAACCCCACTTTACGGTACCTTATAGACGTGCTTTGCAGAGTACAGAGGCGGATTAAGGAGCAAGACCGCCCTAGGCAAGCAACTCAACGGCGCCCCCGCGCCCATACCATATTATAAATATTGACTATAATATAGTTGACTATAGCTAGTTGACGTTTGTAAATGTATGGTAATGATCACTCCAAAGCCAAACTGTTTTCGTTATTTTACTCCACATTTTTCTTTTCTTTGGAATAGATCCGACTAAAAACACACGGAGTGCCTTTATACATCTTTTAGGATGTAACCCTAAATAAATGAAGATAGTAGACTACTTTATCCGACCTCAAACAAGAACGAGATCCTTATTTTTTTATATGTTTTTTATCTACCTTAGACGTCCTTACATTTACTTCATGTATGAACAGATTTGTAAAATTCTTTTTTCATTCGAAAGGATATACTTCCCGTTTGGCCAGTTTATTACAATTCATCACGATGTTTAAGTCGGTTATAGGTACTTGAGCATCAAAGTCGGTTACTTACACTAATTAATATTTTTTAAATTATTTTTTATCTTGTGTATAGCCCTGACAACTCTCACAACGTGTATCAGTTGACTATTTAAGATGTGAAAGCGAACTATAGGTACATTTCAGTTAGATTCAATATTCATCATCGCGCAACTGATTATATTTAATAAATTAGAATATGAATATTAAGCCTGAAATATAATTACGACACTTCTACACAAAAAGATTTAGGTATTTAAATCAAGTTAAACATGTTGCTAATTGCGATTTGCAAACAATAGTTAATTTATGTGGGCTTACATCGCTCTCTGTGTATAAAATATTTGACAACAAAAAAATCACGCAAAAACGTTCGGTCAATAACTTTAACCCCCAAAGCGATTTCTTATATTAAAATTACTGCTATGAACGGTCCTGCCTTGTCTGTCACGTGGAGGCTGTGTGATACAAGTGAACAATTCAGAACGTACTTTATAGTGACATCTATCGACTAACAGTGATAACTTTTATTCTTATAGTAAGCAATGCGCCACCTGTTAGAAGACAAATAAACCATATCTAAGACGGTTAAAAACTTTATTAAAATTCTAACAGAGGGCACTAAAAGTAATTTTATCTGTAAAACAGATATTCATAATGTTATGTTCTTTTACTTCAAAGATTATCAAATTAATATTGTATAATTATTATTATAATAATTTTATATATATTTTTCTTTCTTTTGATAGTTTCATTCAACGAACTTTATACTTACTCTTTAATAAATTCGTTTTATCACGATTTATTATAAATTTATCATATAAAGCATTAGTCAAAGAAACAAAATATTCATAGAAATAAAGATTGCAAACATGATTTCCCTGACTTAGGTACGGCCAACTTACTATTATCTATTCTTATAGCATTAGGGTTTTACTAGGTACGTTAAATAATGTTGTTCGCTTCCCGCTAATTTTAAAAAAAAACATTTTGAGAATAGGAGAGTGGAGATAGACTGTCGGTCAGTGTCGGTGGATCTCCGAATCAGATTGCAGATGAATTAAATGCAAATACGCGACGTTGGATGGAATAGTTGCTGGAAAAAAAACGAATACGAAAAATACCTACGACTTTTGCTACTTTTATCCTTAATTATTTATCTGTGTCAAACTTAGACACAGAAATGACCTCACAGTACTAGGCTATTTGCTTAACACTTCCAGGGATGATCTATCTTATTGTAGCATATAAAGGACTATTATATTGCAACATGATTGAATAACGAGGTGGTATAGGTCACCTCTCATTGTTGGACCGGATGTCGCCATTATGAATCAGTCCACGCCCACAGTTGGCGTGTATGCATGCAGCAAATAGCAAATTATTGTCTAAATTTAACGGCTCTAGTTCAAAGAATACGTTGTATAATTGGGCCTTGCGATTTTAATCACGAATGTCGAGGTAGTAGTGTCGAATTCTGCTTATGAACTTTAATTCACAGTAAAATGTAGAATGGTGATTTAGTAAGATTTTAAAACTAATAGTCCAAGAGCTGGCTTTTGAGTAGGTATTTCACATGCTGGCTCAAATACCTGCTTAAAATTATCTGCCAGCTTTCCTTCTCCGACTATAAAGGTTTTTATATTATTAAGTTTATTCCTATGGCTGTT